AGTCTGTGTGGCGGAAGGATACAACCATGAGGAGGTGATTCTAGTTGTCATTGATTTTAAATGCATCTGACTGAAATGCCTATATTTTTATATATATATATAGAAGCATTTTAGCTTTTATATTCTCTGTTCTGTAACTTTGAACGCTTTGCACACACACACACACACACACACACACACACACACACACACACACACACACACACACACACACACACAGTTGTTCAGTTAAAATGGCGACAGAACTGGCAACTGTACGTGTCATTGTGCATATTAAATAGTTTTCAGTTACTGTCCATTGATGCAAGAACATGATAAAGTCACTAACATCATCTGAATAATGAATCGCGAGACAAAACAAAACACATCCAACACTGTGCACCGGCCTCTAGACAATGGGACTTTCTCCACATGGACAATCACAGTTATGAGTCAAACCAACCTCAACGCTGTTGCAGCATAAAAGATGCTGTTAACTCTAATGGTATTTTCTCTCTTATTACTTTTACTGCTCAAATATAAATGTATCTGGAGGTACAGCAGGCTCAAACATAATGCAGACATATTTCCTGTTCTCTGACGCAGCACCAGCATTTTCCCTCATTGCTGCCCAGCAATTTCAAAGTAAAAGCACAGCTGTAACTGGACAAAGATTTTTCAAGATGAGGAGGAAACCTGTTGAAATAGAAAGATAAATGGCCTGTTTATAGATTGACAAACCTCATTACTGATAAGCCGTACTTCCTTTTTTATAAGTGGGGTCATAAAGTAATTCACTTCAGTGCCTTCAGTTTAATCTGAACGACTGAGTCAACAATCTCCTCTGCTGGATGTTGTTGCTTCAGCTGATAAATGCGGTTATATTTAATGATTGCACGCAGCTTGTTAACAGTATGGTGTTTTAATGCAGCAAAGACAAAGCATAAAGTCTAAGTTAAATGCTGGAGTGTTACAGTATTTTAAACCCATTCAGAGCTGCTGCAGAAATGCCTGAGGCCTGATTTGACGAACGATGAGCGATTGTTTTCTGGAGCGCTATTTATCCTCACCCACCAACCAAAAGGGGGGTAATTAGCTATAATTGTTTTAAATGATCAGTGTCTCTGGCCAATTCAAACACGTAAGATATCAACATGAAGATCAGATTTGTGTTTCCTGGTGTGGAAGTAAAAACAGGCAGATACATAGTCAGAGTCCTGACACGTTCATGTGACAGCTGTTTCAATGGCCTCTGGTTCTCTACCTACAGATCAAATCCAGCATCTAAACAAAACAGCTTCGTCCGCCAATGAATATACCTAATCATCTGCAAAGTAAGTTCAAAATATCTCAATAATGAACATGATCACCAATCATTAAGAAAATTCATGTGGCATATAAATTTGACTGATAATTACACCTGTTAAACCAATGCTTACACCTCAATAACCCTGATGTGTCCATCACATCCATCCTACATAACATCTGATATTTTGTTTGTTAGTTTATGGAGCCCCGACCAGATCCACGGGACAGTAAACTGATCAGTCAGTGATCAGTCGGATCACTGTCTTTGTGCCGCTCTTGTTCCACGCTGAGGAAGAAATCACAGACATCTGTGTTGTCAGATGTGAAACACCAGCTCATCAGTCATCAGACGCTGAGTTGGGGCTCTCTCCCCCTGGACTGAGTGACGTTTGCTCCAATATGTGTGATAACTGTGACTGACACTGTCACCCTGTGCATGACAAAACGTCACGTTTCACCATCAGATATTTCAATCACGACCAACACAACATTTTACTGAAAAGCTGTGAAATTTCTTTCCATTCAATATTTACATTTTTGTAGCAAACGACAAAGTTTCCCACTGATCTGTTGGTGTTTGGTTATTACAATCTATTAATACTGATACTGATCTTCAATCTAAAATACATTATGTAGAATGTATTAATAACCGTTGTTAATGAAGCACTCAAGCAAACAAGCTGCTGTATAAAGATACTGAAAGGTAAATAACCTGCAGCAACACAGTCAAGTGGTGGTGGGAGACTCCTATACTGGTTACTCAAACATCTCATAAAGCACCATGGGAACTTTGCTGATGATTTTTCAGCCCACAAAACGTACTAATAATTCTGGACTTCTCACTCGTTTCCAGATGCTGGATGAACAAGATAAAAGGAGACATGCCACTCTCTTCAATCCTTATCTCACGGTTGGATCTGAGATTTGCCTCGGTTATGAAATAGAATAAAAATGTACCACACCCATAAACCGCAGATCCACCAATTCTGATGAAGACCAGAGACCAGATGAATAAAACTGTAGATTCATGACTAAAAATATGTGTCACACAAAATAAGAAATATTCATACACACTCTTTTCATCAGAATTATAAAGCCGTGGTTCCTCTTTATAAATCTCACTCACATGTGAACGAGCCTCATTTCCGCTCCCACAATCCCCAATAAATGGATGAAGACTCTCCCTTAATCAATCAGTTTGTATAAAAAAACACCGTCTCCACCACAAGTGATCAGACACAGAGAAGAAAGACGAGGAAGAAGAAGAAGAATTTCACTGATCAGTTTACTTTAGTACCATCACTCTGATGTAAAGTCCTGTTTTACTCTGAACTTAATTTATTGGGACTCGAGAGTCTTAACGAGGCTCCAGAGGCTCAAACACTGTGATTAGTCAATATTAAAATAGTATCAAACAGTTTATAGAATGACTCACAATAAATAATAAGGATGTTAAAAGATGCTGAAGGAAACATTGAGCACAAACAATTATTTCTGTTTATAAATTTAGATAGATAAATACTTTATTTATCTCCTAGGGGAGTAAATAAAGTATCTATCTATCTATCTATCTATCTATCTATCTATCTAAATTGTAAAACTTATGATGATGATAATGAATGAAGCTCCATGAAGTTGGTTTTATTTATGTTAATTTACATGTCTCGGCTTATTTTGTATTTTCAGGGTAACTTGGATCACTTTGGAGAACCGTGTGTTCAAATGGTCGAAGGAAAGAGTGAGGCGACACAGTCTGTGTGTATAAAGACCAGTTTACGTGCAGGAAATGACGTACATGTGATTTTTGTGTGTACGCCTCATTTATGCATCTGGCCCCTGCTGAGTGGAGTCAGATCATAAGATAAGTCAATACAAACAGTTGATCAAAGAAACATCCTCACAGCAATAAACCACTGATAAGCTGTCAACTGGCCAACACATATTAAAGAATCCTTAAAGTGCAGCACCAAGCTGACAAACATCATTTAACAAAGCAGGAATGAAGGCCCCACAGGCGGTCCTACAGGCCCCTGGCCGGACTCCATGCAAAAGATAAACTCCTGGAGCAAACTCTGCTGATAGAAACAACACTTTAAAAAGTGAAAGAGAAACTGCACCACAAATCACACTGTTTAATTTCTTTAACGTCCTCCTCTGGTCACACTGAAGTGTCAACATGCATGAGGAATACCTGCTGAGGATCATCTTAACCTTGGTCAGCGCACATTGAGGACATTTTGCTACCCTCAGTCAATTCTTCATCACAGCCGGTAATTCGTCAACGTCCTCTGGCTATCACTCTACCTCCATGTAATGTCAAATAATAAGAATACATCAATAAACAACGCGCTCTCCATATTTCACCTCTATGATCCGGCTCATTAAAACGCAGTTGGCAGTGTCGTGTCACCGTGACCTGTGCAGTGCAATTGTGCACCGTGAAGGTCAGACAAACAAGAGGTGGACAAAACAAACACACAGGTGCTGTACATTCCTATGGCAACAGTGCTCTTGGTCCCTTGAGAACCTCTGTACAAAATAATCATCTACTTCAATTTCTATTCTGCATCAATCAGTTCTGGACTGGCTGTCTGTGCAGTTATAAATTTAGACTTGACTGTGGTTCTGTAGCGTTACAGGCCTTCATAAAATTGCCTCTTCCAGTCATAAACAATCATATGGCTTCAAATCAGATGACGCCCAGCTCTTGTTGCACAGCTCCAGGGCTGCACATGAAACAACAGGTCTTATTTCAGTCCGGATGCCCTCCCCAACACAGATGAGACTACTGTCCAATGAAGTCTCAAAAACAAGACTCCAACTTTTATTTTTCACTCTCAAATGTTTCCACTGTGATTGTTATTATTATTATTATTATTATTATCATCATCATTACTATTTTGCTATTCTGTCATATTTTTGAGTAACTTACATTAAATGTATTAATCTTTTCCTTATTCTTTTTGTTATTCGTCTCTGATCTACTTCCTCCTCCATTACTCTCTCTGTACCTCTGTCTGTGCACCATGGGGTTCAGAGCCTTCAGCCAACTCTGGAACTCTCTTCCACAAATCTGCCCTGTTATTGATTCACTTCCTGTTTTCAAATCCCACATCAGGACACACCTCATCAAACTTCCCTCCTCTCTTTCACTCCAACACCAGCGTTTAATCATATTTCCTTTTTATGCAATTACATTTATTCTAATTTATTTTTTCCTGCTGTGTGTTGTAAGGTGTCCTTGAGTGAGTTGAAAGGGGCCTATTAATAAAATGTATTATAATTATTATCACTGATGGTAGTGTGATGATAGCAGCCAGGTTTTGGATGACTGTCTGAGCAGGTTAAGAGGTGAAAAAGATCAAAGATAAACAAACAAAAAAAGCTAACTACTCAAAACCTTGTGTGAACACTATGCCACCTGGACACACATCAGAGAGCCAATGAAAAACTAAACTAAAAACTGCAGTAGTTCATATCAAAGCATGTTGACATGTATCTCATAACACTGATTTAAAGAAGAAGTTCCACCATACTGCAGAAGGGTGAGGTCAGGCCGGTATGTAGCTGATGAGAATGAGAATAAAACTAATTATACACAGTCAGTTTACTGTCACTCAGGCTGGTGTTTTAAATGGGTGTCAGACACATTCAGGGTGTGCACACAAATACACGTAGTCTAAACGAGCTCAGCTCTGCAGTGTCATCCTCACCTGCACCATGGTCACGACATGACACGGGTTCAGCAGATATATCACAGTCTTGGTCGCGAACTTGAACCCAACTTCCACTCCAAAAGTCATGCAGAGGGCAACCAGCAACAGGTTCTTGCCCAGACTGTCCTCCTTCGTCCGTACGCAGTCCCTTCCCACCACTTTGAGCTCTTTGGACAGGTTTATCTTCTTCAGTGCCACGCCAATCTCCACCAGGGAGATGAGGACGATGACCAGACTTTCACTGACGCGTTGCTGGGGCGCGATGAAGGCGGCACACTCGGGGCCCCCGTTGCCTTCAAACTTCGGGTCCACCCCGCCATAGATCCAGTCCAACAGGCTGTATATGTTATATCTGGACATATTCCTCTTCTCGTGTTGGAAAAGATACGAACAAGATGGAATAAAAGACGTCACACTGACTTCTTGGCGAAACATGAACTGCAAGATTTCCCTTTCGTAGCTCGTGTCGTGGTTCAGAGGTAGTCATGTATCCGCCGCCTCGGTGTGTTGTAGCTAGCTGTAACTACCTCATTCACAGGCGGGGGGAGATCTCCGGCTAGCAGCGGGAGAGAGCTGAAGTCAGGACTGTCCGTGTCACTGCTGCTGCTGCTGGTAGTGGTGGTGGCGCCAAGCCTCTCTCTTCCTCACAATTAGCAACTACGCTAGCTAGCGTGCACACTCAGACTGGCATCGGCATCATGTGAAGCAAGCGAGCACGTTAGCTACGTGCTCCTATCGAGCTACAACGCAGTTCGCTGGAGGTTGGGTTAGGGTGTGTTAGCAACAGCGCCGACACCGGATAGGTAGCTAGCTTAGCTTCCGAGCCCACCTTGCTGAACAAGCGGAGCAACGTTCCTTTTCTCTGCCCCGAGTCTGGTCTGTCAGGCAGGGTACAATTAGTACACTTGTAAAACACCACTGTGCTATATTCAGTGGGGAAATTATTATATTCTGTGTCTAGAAACTATCAATTACTAAAGGAAGTAAGCAAAGCAGGCCACTTAACCTGCTTATTCAACAGCCAAACTAATTATTCGCTGTAACAGCAATGTGCACACATTAAAATTAAGATATTGATATAATGAGGCTGAAAACGTGACATTCACAGTTGGTGTTTCAGACTTTTATCTGTTCAAATACAATTTTAACGGATGTAAACGTATTTCTTTTTATATACTTCATGGGTCACTTTAACCTAACACGTTATACTGCCTGAGAGTCAAATCTGCGGGCATAAAGTGATCCTGTAAAACCAAGGAGGACTTTCAACCACATGTGATGCTTTGCGATGGTGCGTTCATGAAGAATCCGACTCTGTGATGCTGTTGCGTTTAAGTAGTAATTGTCAGTAAATGCAGACATGGAAATGTTTCTATTCTTTTTTTTATTAAGTGAGAACAAAACAAGTGAAGACAACTGTAACAATAGTGACAAAGGTTGGACCAAACATAACAGAGTAATGTTTTTATTCTAAACCTCCATTGCTTCATCAGAATAGGGGCTCTTCAGCCAGAGTATTACTTTAATTTCACCTCATGTTGGAGTAATGAGAAACTGTATAATAACAGTTATTTTGCTCATAGGTTTCCTTAAACACAGATAGATATATTTAGTATAGACAGTCACTCTGGTCAATGCAATACAGAAAAGTGATTCACACATGGGGTTCTTGGGACGTAGCAAGAGAAGTTTATACAGAAGTTTGTACAATGATTTTCATCCTGCATTTAGCCCTTGACTCATCACGTTTATGAATCACCGTTGTAAGCCACTTACAGTTATTTCAGTGCAATGCCCATTGCTTGATATTGGCATTAAGGTCGTAATTACAACCAAATACATGAAATGCTTTATCCATGATGTTATTGGAACATCCATCTCTGACTGACAGCAGTGTGTGTTCTCCTTGTTCATCTCTGCCTAAAGGCCCATCTGTTATCTGCACAGTCCAGGTTTTAGGGATTCATGGAGTTCAGACTTTTAAAAGAGACCTCAAATTCTTTTTGAGCTGCTCCCTTTAATTATGGGGATGGTATGACTGGTAAGTATAGCCATAAAACATGAGCTTTAAACGCTCAGTATTTTCTGTGCAAGTGGATAGTTCCAAATGAGAGAACCATTAGTGCCACCATCAATATAAACTTTGGCCATTTTATTGTAATAAAAAAAGGTTATATGAAAGTAATGCGTAACTGTGGAGATCGCTTGTGGCAGCTGTAATTTCTTTAGTCATACGTGATATGCTGTAATTATTTTACAGTTAATGATTAGCCAATAAAAGAATGGGTCACTGTGGAACACCTTCGTTACTGTTGGAAGGAACAGCCATCACCAGGGCTATTGATTAACACGTCACTCCTCCACTTGATTAGTCTTTTCAACTGTCCTTGCAACTTCATGACAACTGGAGATTACTGTATCACATATAGCCTTCAAACAATGGATGATCAAGGGCCACAGCAATAAGAAGGTGTAGGATTTGGATTATGATGGGAATTATTTACTTTGAAATCACTTCATTATGTGAGGAAAAGGGAGCAAAGTCTGATTGAAGTGAATTACTAAATACAAACTATCAAAGTCCACATGAACCTGTTTGTGAGCCAGTTTCCTCCATGGTCAACTGGCATTGTGTTTCCATCATAGCAGGGGGTGGTGACGTACACACTCTCCACAATAATTGGTTTGGGATGCACTTCATGAAAATTTTTTTTTTCACAAACACGCAAGTTGAGATACAGTGGATTAAACAAGGCTGCAGGGAATGGACCGACATGGAGGGAAGAGAAAAGAGGAGAAGTGAAAACCACTGGGATGCATCTAATGTTTTTCCCACAGTGCATTGCTCTGGTTGGCCAATGTTTGGTTTCACGCTGACATAATTCCATTAGTGTGGGGTTGTGTGTAGCACTCAGTGTATACGGAGCCTGTTTTAAAGCAGGTCCAGCAGTCTGAGTGCAAACGACTCCGAGGTGAAATGTTGTAATTGTGGCCAGAACTGTTTAACTATGCACAGTAAGGGAAACATGACATTCCTGTTTGGTTGTGTACTGAGTGTAAAAACAGGACAGCAGACTTTAAGACAATGTCCTGTTTGCCCTGATGGACACTTTTCGTTTGGGCTTTTGAATTATTTCTTGTTTTATTTTATAGAGTTCCTTATGTGTCCACTGTGTTTTTACTTCCTGTCTTTGTCTTGTGTTTCCCTCCTTGTTGATTGTCTGCCCCACCCTCATGTGTTTCACCTGTGTTCAATCACCCGTCCCTCCCAGGTGTGTATTTAGTCTCTCCTTGTCTCTGTCCATCTGTTGTTCTCCTGTTTGCTCTGGTGAACTTCTGTTGAGTTTTTCCTCGGTTTTCCTTGGTGCTTCTTGTTCTGTAACTCCTCATGTTTCCTCACTGGATTTTCTTGAGTTTTGACTTCTGTTCATGGGCTTTGTTCTGCCTCACCTCCCCAGTGGATTTCTTTTACCAATTCAGTTCAGTCTTTTGTGTTGGCATCATAAAATAAACCAGTATACTGCAGGCACTCTGCTCTAGTTGTCCGCATTTGGGACATACAAACCTGTTATAGTTTATTCCTTTTAGCTTTATATGGACATGATGATGGTGGTTTTTCCGTCCAGCACAGTCTTATTTTTTCAAGATTCATGTGACTCATTTTACCATTGGTTTCTATTTTAGACGCAGATGTACAGAGTGTCACCATGGACCTGAGAGCTGACTTGATCTGACCAATCCAAAGTGACCGCTTCAGTCACATTATTTTGGTTCATATTTTAAGGGATATTAAAGCCACAGAAAAATAATCAACCTGAAGACGGAGGTGAGTCAAGCCTCCATTCAGAAACCAGAGAACCCGCTGTCTTTTGATAGGGGAACTGTCACATCAGCAGACTCCCTCCCACCGCTTGCTGCCCAGAAAAATAAAATTGAATCCATTTTCAAGGTTCTTAAAAGGGTAACACAGTATGCTCTCTAACTCCCATAAGGGAAAACACTCTGACTCGGTTTACAAGCCAGTGTGGGCTATAAAGTCCAGGCCTCTCTTGAGGATGTGGAGAGGGGCAGAACGAAGGTCAACTGGCCTCCCAGCACGTGATCCTGAGGGATAAAAAGTGAGCCGGTCTCCTGGCTCGAGATGCTGTCTGGTGGAAAGAGGCCAATTAGTTGGAGACAGAGAGGACTGAGGAGGAACAGCTGGATGTGGAGGAAAAACAGCAGCTTCAGTCACAGAAATTTTTTTTATTTTTTAATGTCCTTTGTTTGTTCATTCGAGGCTAATTTAGAGTAGAGGATGACTGCCTGTAGGGAGAAATATCATTGCAGTATTTCTGCTCACCAGCTCTTTCAAACAAAAAGCTGTCATTCTAATCATTAGCTTGGGTTTCGAGGAACACATAATTTTGATTATTTATTCTCTAAAATCCATGTGTAACTGTACCCATAGGTCAGAAACACTTTATCTGTTTGATTCTGCTGCAGAGTGCTCATCATGTACTTGTCATACTCCACAGTCTGATGTTAATATTTATTCTATTGTGGTTTTGTGTTTTATTAGATATATTTTGTAATGTTGACCAGGGGACCCCCCACCCCCACCCACCCCCCAGTCTTAGCCTGGGGCCAATTTCAGGCTTTAATTGTTGTTTATCCCTGTGCTCCTTCAATGCCGTAATAATATTTGGGGTGGGTCATTGACTGTTGACTGATTTTTTACATCCATGATAAAGACAAATTGTCCCTGGAAAAAAAAAAAGTTAAGCTCATACAGAACTGTATGTCAGTTTTTAAGCTCTGAGTCAAGCTGAAGCTTTAGGATTCAAAGCTGGTTTCACTCTCTGACTCTCCACGCTGCAAAAATTATGAGCAAAGTGTTGTCACTGAATCAACCCCCTGTTCAAATATAGAAATGGATTATGTCTGACACAAACACACAGAGAGAGAGAGATGCACAAAGTCCTGTATCACACTTGTCAGTGCTGTTTGTAAAGTTTGTACTTTGCTGTTGTGTACACTGTGAGATTAAACCTGGACACACAACACAAACATCACTATCCCCATAAAATGAATTTTCATTTTGAATTTGAATCACCCACCAGCAGTTTCTAACCTCTTTGAAGAGGAGGAGCTGGTCTTATAAGAGTCAGCAGGGGGCGATGTTACCATTGTTCCTCACTATTTGGTTTTTAGCATTCAGTCCACATGAGGCTCTTTGGAGGATATTTGAAAAAGCACCACTTTATTGCAAATCCTAACCTTCTTAGGCCAATTGTTTAAATGGCTCTGGCTCTTTAGCTGTTTAATGTGCACTAATATGAGAGGCTGCAAACTACTTTACTGTCATAGAATAAGTGTCACATTGCAAATACAAGAGTTTGGAGCCAAATCAACACTGTGCAGCTGATGAACCACATCTGAACTCCCATGATTTAAAAATCAATGCAAGTCATTGTAGTTTAACATAAATGTCCATGCTGATTTTTTTATTTACATTTATTTCTTTATGGTTCTTGTTATTGCTTTGTTTGGTTTTCTTTAATTCTGGCCTGTTAAGTCATATACTCTATTAAATATTGATTCAATCATTTTACTGTGCAGACAGTAACAGAAGATTAGTTTTGCTGCAGCTTTATTTGGGCTCAAAATTACAAAATAAAATATATAAACGAGGATTTGAAACAGTCACATTTGTATTTGTGTGCATTTTCTTCATTCACATATCAGATATAATTAAATAACTAATTCCTGAGAGGATGTGGTGAACATAAGCTGGCAGCATGCTTAATTTACTAACACAGGTGAAGGACAAAAAGAGCTATTGTATAAAAGCAGATGTGGACAGTGAGG